CTTCTTCTTCTTCTTCTTCTTCTTCTTCTTCTTTTCTCTTTGTTGTTGTTTAATTGAGGAGGGCGGAAGTGAGAGGGAAAGAAAATAAATGCTTGCATTTTTTAAAAATAGGCTTTTCTTGACATCTTTTGTTTTTGTATCACCTGCATTTCCTGCTGTCTTCCCCTCCCTGCCCCCTGCCCCATCTGGGGTTCTAGTCCCTCCAGACCTCAGATTCCTACTCTTTCGTTGTGGTCTGGAATAAGGAAATCAGCTGTGTTTTCTTATCATACCATCATGAGGTTTGAGGGAAGAGGTGGGAAGTTTGCCCTGAAGGCTAGTCATGGCAGGCCTCCTCTGCTTCTTCAAGGAGAGGAAAGAGCCATAAAAATGGTGCCCAATTACTCCTGCATATTGGTACTCAGATACATTCTGTATGCTTCCACTCCTGAAGTTCTGACTTCTTTTATTCCTCAGCTGCTGCCCTTTCAGGATATAGTCACATTGAATCATGCCTAGGATTTGGAGCTGAAAATGACCTCGGAGATCATGAATCGTAGGAGTTGAATTGGAACTTGTAATCCAACCCCTTCATTTAACAGACAAGGAAACAAGAGTCCCAGAGAAGTGAACTGATTTGTGTCACAAAAAAAAGTAATATGGGGCAACAGTGGTTGTCAGAGCCAGGATTTGAACACAATCCCTTTACCCCTAAATTCAGTTCTCTTTCTACTCTGTTACCTTACCTAGTTCAGCCTCAGACACTTAGACACCCTCTGTCTGCCTCAGTTTTTTCATCTGTAAAATGGGAATAATAATATCACCTACCTCCCAAGGTTGTTGTGATGATCAAATGAGGTAGTATTTGTAAAGCACTTTGTAGATCTTAAAAACCTATAGAAATGCTAGCTAGTTGTTAGCCTGATACCCTGATTTTATAGAAGAGTAGACTGAGACTTAAAGAGGCAGAAGTGGGATTCAAACACAGGTCTTCTAATGAATCAAGTTATTAACAAGCATTTATTAAGTGTCTACTGTGTGGGGCAAAACCACTGCAAGACTCACATTTTTATTTTAAAGTTTATTTTTATTTATTTTTCCAGGCAATTGGGGTTAAGTGACTTGCCCAGGGTCACACAGCTAGTAAGTATCAAGTGTCTGGTCTGAGATCACATTTGAGCTCAGGTCCTCCTGACTCCAGGGCCAGTGTTCTATCCACTGCGTCACCTAGCTGACCCTTAAAGTTTATTTCTAAAAGTGTTTTATTTTAATTTTTAGGCAATTGGAGTTAAGTGACTTGTCCAGGGTCACACAGCTAATTAAGTGTCAAGTGTTTGGTCTGAGGCCAGATTTGAACTCCTGATTCCAGGGCCGGTGCTCTATTCACTGAGCCACCTAGCTGCCCCAAAGTATTTTATTTTAAAGATAACAGAAGGAGCCAACCTAACAGAATCATTCTGTGAAGCCTGTCCTCATTGCCCCAATTGTAAGCATGCAATTCTGCATCAAAAACCTTACATTACCTATTTGTAAACATTGTATCTCCTTGATAGAATGGAAACTTCTGGAGGCCAGGAATTGCTTAGTTCTTGTATATGGATCCCCATTGCTTACCAGAGTCGCGTGCTTTTTAGTGTTTATTAAAGGTTTACTAAATTTAAAAAAAAAGTTTCCAGGACCCATATGTACAGAAATATTTGTAGCAGCTCTTTCTATGGTGGCAAAGAATTGGAAATTGAGGGGATGCCCATCAATTGGGGAATGGCTGAACAAGTTGTGGTATATGAATGTAATGGAATACTATTGCGCTAGAAGAAATGATGAGCAGCTGGACTTCAGAAAAACCTGGAAAGACTTGTATGGACTGATGCTGAATGAAGTGAGCAGAACCAGGAGAATGTTGTACACAGTACACCCACATTGTGTGATGACTAACTTGATAGACTTAGCTCTTCTCAGTAACATAAAAATCTAAAACATCTCCAAAAGTCTCATGATGGAAAGTGCTATCCACATCCAGAGAAAGAACTATGGAGCTTGCATGCAGATCGAAAAATACTATTTGCGCTTTTTTTTCTGTTCTGTTTTGTTTTGTTTCTTCTTTCTTGTGGTTCCTCCTATTGGTTCTCATTCTTCTTTACAACATGACTAATGTGGAAATATGTTTAATAGCAATGTATATGTAGAGCTTACATCATATTGCATGCCATCTTGGGGAGGGAAGAGGGCAGAGTTGGGGAAAAAATTTAAAACTCAAAAACTTATGGAAGTGAATGTTGAAAACTAAAAATAAATTAATTAATTAGAAAAAAGTTTCCAGCAACCACACAATTCTTGGTCAGGGAAAGGACAGAAATAGTAGAGGCAGGGATGATGCCTTGCTACAACCACAATGAGTCTCATTTTGTTGTTCAGTTGTTTCATGATGCTTCATGATCTTATTTGGGGTTTTCTTGGCAAGAATATTGGAGTGATTTGCCTTTTCCTTCTTCAGCTCATTTTACAGATGAGATAACTGAGGCAAACAGGGTTAAGTGACTTGCCCAGGGTCACACAGCTAGTAAGTATCTGAGGCTGGATTTAAACTAATGAAAATGAGTTCCCAATTCCAAGGCCAGTGCTCTATCCACTGTGCCACTTAGCTGCCCATAATCAGTCTCATTAGGGCATGATTTACAACAGTAATCCACATCTCCACAATTCCCTAAAATCAGAAAACCACTTTCCTCACAACAACCCTGTGGGAGGTGGCATTACAGGGGCTGTAATCCCCATTTTACAGGTAAGCACTCTAGAGGCTCAAAGAGTTAAGTGACTTGCCTGAGGTCACACAGCTGTGTGACAGAACAGAATTTGAATCCAGATTTTCCTGACTGAAGGCCAGCCCTTGCCCACTCTGCTGCCCTCCTTGAGGTGGCAAACAGCCTCCTCACACTCTGCTGCCACTCAGAAGGCATCATCAGAAGTCTGAGAAGTAGCAGCCAGTGCTGAGCACAGCGGTACCCACACAGCTTGTTGTCCTGGTAAGGAGCACGTGCAATAGGTTTGTTTGCCTTTAACTAAACCTCAGAATTTAAAATGCCAACAATACCCTTTGCAAATAGGAAAATTGCATTTCTGAACTACTCGGGGCTTAATTATATCGTTTGGGTTTTAAGACAGGCTGAAATGTGTCCTCCTAGCAGGAAATGAGCTGTGCTAACCCTAATTATGGTTCAACACAATTCACTTAATTCAGGCAAAGAAAATTACCAGTGTGGTGATGGGTTAGGCAAGTATCTACTGGTAATTATGGGTCACCAAGTCAGAGGGCACAAATTTAGACTTGATTTAGATTTAGAGAATCATAGGGGGAAAAAAATACCAACGGAAAGGATCTCAGAGACCATCTAATCCAATCACCGTTAACTGGTGGCCAAGCCACTTCTCTATGATCGTCAGTTTCCTCTTCAGAAAAATGAAAGTTTAGACGGTGCTCTGTAAAGTCCAGTCTGGCTCGAACATCCTATTACAACAACTCTGCTTCGTTTTGCCAAAGAAAAAGAAAAAATCCAGACAGGAAGTGACCTGTCCAAGGTCATATAGCAAAGTAGTGAAGCCAGAGTTAGAAATCAATTGCCAGGACAATATTCTTTCCAGTGCACCACAGAGAGTTCCCCATGGCTAATAGCACAGGGCTAATGTGGTCTTTTTCTTTTTCTTTTTATGTCTTTGTCTAAAAACTTAGTTCAGTGAAAGCTTGTAAGAGATAAAAATTATGATTTAAATAAAGTAGGAGTTATTAACCTTTCTTGCACCATGGATTTCTTTGGCAGTGTGGCTAAATCTATAGAATCCTCAGAATAATGTTCTTAAATGCATGAAATAAAGTACATAGAATTATAAAAGAAACCAATTATATTGAGATAGTTATCAAAATATTACAAAACAAGTTCCTGTTATCCCTTTTCATTTCTTAGAGCAATAAGAGATTACAGCGAGGAAAGACCCCAGGGATCATTTGATCCAACTTCCTTATTAGATCGGATAATGAAACTAAAGGTCAGGGAGACAATGCTCAAGGTTACCCAGAGAGAAAGTGGTGGAACTGGGAGTAGGACTGAGGTCTCCTCCATCTTAGTGCAGAGCTCATTCTGGTATAACGCACCCGTCTCCCTTGGACTTCCGTGGGGATTGTTGCCCAGGAAGGTTTGTCTTAGATGGTAGATCAGACTGCTAAACCACTATGACTGATCTTTGAAAAATGTAGCAGATTGAAGAAAGGCTGGAGAGTGGAGAAGGGCAAATCCCCAGATTTTCAAAAAAGGTGAAGAGGGGATCTGCAAACTACAGGCAAATGACCTTGACTTCAATTCCTGGCAAAATCCTAGCAAGTAATATTAAAGGGATAGTTAGTGAACATCCAGAAAAAGGAAGCTGTGACCTTGAAGAACCAAGATGGCTTCTTCAAGAATAGGTCACACCAATTGATCTAACCTGGAAGGAAAGCAATTTGGACCCATGCACCAAAAGTCGACATCAACTGTGCATATCCTTTGATTCACTGATACCATATATCATGCCCAAAAAGGTCAGAGAAAGAAGGAAAAGATCCATATATACAGAAATATTTAGAGTGGTTCTTTTTCTTGTAGCAAATAATTGGGAACAAAGGAGTACTCACCATTTGGAGGGAATTTTCTGAACAAATGAGGATACACAAATATAATGGAATATTATTTGGCAATAGGAAATGATAAATGAGAGAGTTTCAGAAAAACCTGGGATATAGAATAATGCAGAGTGGAGTGAACAGGACAAGGAGAACAATTTATACAATACAATACAGTTACACAATTTATACAATAACCACATTATAAACAAAAACAACTTTGAAAGCCTTGAGAATATGATGACTAGCCACAAATCCAGAGGAGGGATAAGAGAGCACGCTCCCCATCTCCTGACAGAGGGGCAATAGACTCAAGGTACAGAATTAGATATACAATTTTGGATGTGAAAAACATATGGAATTATTTTACCTGACTATGCCTTTTTGTAACAAGAACCATATTTTTCTTCTCTCTCTCTCTCTCTCTCTCTCTCTCTCTCTCTCTCTCTCTCTCTCTCTCTCTCTCTTTTTATTGGGGAGAGAGATTCTGGGAGGAGATAGGATTTAGAAATTAGGTCACCTAAAAAAGAAAAAAAAAGAAAGAAAAGAGGGCCATTGAAACATTTTTAAAACACATAGAAGAAAAGTGAATGAAGTTCAGAAGAAAACAGACAAGAAGGGTGTCTTTGAAAGTATTGAATTTGTTGAATGAAATGAATGAAAGTTGAATGAAAAAGTGAATGAAAAAATGATGAATTTATTATATACTTTTTACAAAGCAAGTTGTATATTAACATTTTACATTTTCACAGATAATCCTCTTTTTCTGTTTCACTTTGTATACAGAAATGTTGTTTCATGGTGTTAAATTTAGCATAAAAATTATACAAATAATGTATATATGTATACATATGTGTGAATATGTGTGTGTATATATATATATATGTATGAATATATATGTATATATTATAGAACAGCTGACCTCTCTTCATTTTTTGGCAAAGATATGAGCCTGAAGTAGGCCTGCACAACCTTCGTCCTATGGGCCATAGGTATCCCCCCGGGAGTGCCAAAGACTTTTAAGCAGCCCATGAAAAATGTAGAGAATGTTTTCCTCTACATTTTTTGCGGGCTGCTCAAAGTCCTTTGGTAGGTGACAGGTTGTGCAGGCCTGGCCTGAAGGATCTGGGGAATACCATCAAAATAATTTACCTACAATTTAGGGAAGCATTTGACAAATCACTTATGTTTGTGGACAAGATGGAAACATGTGGGCTAAATGATAATACAGTTGGATGGATTTGGTTCTCATTGAAAGGCTGGACCAAAGAGTGGTCATTACTTGTTCAGTGCCAACTTGGAAGGAGGTCTCTAGTAAAATGCCCTAGAAATCTGTCCTTGGGCCTGTGTTGCTTGACATTTTAAACTGTGACTTAGATAAAAGTAGAGATGGCATGTTTACCAATTTTGGAGGTGACACAAAGCAGACGAGAGCTAACATATTATATGATATTATTAGGATCCAAAAAGGATCTACAAGCTAGAACACTGGGTTGAATCTAAAGATGAAATTTACCCTCATGCTCAAATGAAATGGGTCTGTGATCTCTTTGATTCAGGAGTTCCCTTTGGTGATGCAAATTACAACCCATGCAAGACTGGCTATTTTATGAGAGTCTTTCCTATGTTGTCCCCAAAGTTCATTACAGGGAAATCTACCCAATATGCTCTAGGTCTTCCTTGTTTTCTCCCAATATCCCAAAGATAGCCTCCAAGACCAATGGAGCCCTCTTTATTATTCACTTGCCATTCCTCAATCTTATCACGTGAGCAGCCCATCTTCTCTTCCTGAAATTTAGTAGAGATAAATAGAAAATCTTATATTTGGGTTCAAAAATACAACTTCACAAGTTGACTAGGAGGTGTGGCTAGATAGAAGTTCATCTGAAAAAGATCTGGAGGGTCTGATGGACTAGAAGATAATCAACATGTCTATACATATATATATATATTCATATTGACATATATATATATATACACACACACACACACACACACGCACACACATATATATATCAATAAGTCAATATGAGTCCACAATGTGATGTGCAGGGGGAAAAAAGGCTCATTGAATCTTAGGTTGAATTAAAAGGGGGCATAATATCAAGTACCATTATATTCTGCCATGATCAGACCACAGGTGGATGTTATATCCAGTTCTAAGTGTGACCTTTTAAGAAGATCTTTGAGTATTCAGAGGAGAGTAACTAGGATGGAGAAGAACCTTAAGATCATGGCTAACCCCTCTTATGGAGGCTGTGTGTATTTGTGGGAAGGAGTGAACCAGGTTTTTAGGAGAATGTTGTATACTAACTGTCTTTACCACAATATCTGAGAGTAGTAGTACCAGCCCTCTGGGGATCTAACCTTCCAATTCCAGAAGTTGGGGAATCCTCCTTCTCTTCTTTCTTGTTTTCTTCCTCCTCTTCTTCTTCCTCCTTCCCCTTTCTTCTTCATTTTAATAAATTATTTTTTTCAAAAAGGTGGACAGTTTTGTTTTTGTCCTGACCAGTTTTTATTTATGATTTCTTGAACTATAGCTCTAGAAAAACAGGCCTTAATTACTTTGGCTTTTGTTGAATGGCCAATAATAGCCCCCAACCCAGGCCTCTGTGGCTCATTATTTAGGTTTTGAAGGAAAGTGTAAATAGCGAATGTTTTCTGTTTGGGTTTTCCTTCCCAGATCAAGGATGATCTTTGTGATGGGTAAATTGAGCAATTCTTAGTTACTGAATGGGTGTGACCTCAGACAAACTGACACCTGGGAAACATCTTAATTTAGAAAGGCCAAGGGCTCCCACTACATCTTGAAACATCACCAGTCATCTTGATGCTTCTGTTGCCACAGGACTCTGATGACTCTGGAGGAAGGAGTGAGGCTGATGTCTCTGCACAGCTCTGCCTCACTGAAGTCCGTCTCACTCTCAAGTCAAGACATCACCTTATGATGTCATCGGTCCTCTTGGAGAACAAAAGATGAACAACAACAATGATATCTGTCTTCAAACATGTGAAAGCCTATCTCATGGAAGAGCTGCAAGGCTTTTGCTCAGCTTCAGAGAGCCCAGATAGATCTGGAGCAATGGACAGAATTGTGCTTCTTGATCCCGCTTTGCTCACAGCATAGTATTCTTTGCTATAGCACACCACAAAGAAGGGTTGCCAGGCCTCCAGTCATGCCTCCAGACCTCAGGATTCTAAGGGTCTTCTCTCCTCTGTCACCCTCTTCTGTCTTTACATACTTAGGACTCCCAGTGGAGGAGGTGACTTTGCACCTCTTTGGCCATTATGACTTTCCACAAGTCAAGCCAGGTAGAGCAGGCAGCTCCCTGTAGCTGGTGTGTGTGTGTGTGTGTGTGTGTGTGTGTGTATTGGGTTATGGGGGAATCTCAGGATCTGAGAAGGAAGAATATAGGAGGATGAGGCAAGACATAAAATAGCAGCTCAGAAGAGAGCTCTTGCATTTTAAGACTACATTTTGCTTTGTTTGCATCTCATAGTTGGTAACATGAATTGCAAGCTTCATAGGAGAGGAATCTATGGTAGGGGCCAAAGAGATGGATTTATGATTTAGGAAGTTTTGCGTAGTGAAACTCACAGAACACCCTCAAGAACCAGTGGGGGATGGGTTGAGGGAGAGAATAAAGTACCAAGAGGAAAAATCTCCCTAATGATTAGTGCTATTCCAAAGTGGAATATGCTGGCTCAGGAGCAGGTGGGGTCCCTCTCGCTCAATGTCTTCAAGCAAAAGCTGGATGGCTTCTTGCCTGCTGTGTTTTGGAAGGCTTTCTTGCTCATGTATAGATTAGACTGGATAGCCTTTGAGGTCTCTTCCATCTTTGAGATTCTGTAACTGTGGGTACAGCCCCCTGGCTACACTCTCTCTGCTAAACAGCACACAGTGATCAGGGTTAGTGTGATTACTGTGGGTAGAAAAACTGGACAAAAGTTAATTTGGACACCTGGCTTATTGGGTCTGGCTGTTGACACTGATCACGTTAACTGGGTAAATGCCAAATGTCCAATTCACTTTGTATAGAGAACACAGGCACCTTGTTGTCTACCACGCTCAGTTTCTTTACACACAAAATTCCTGTTCATTTGAACAAGGAAGACAATCAGCCCAGGGGAGGCACTGTGCCATGGTGGAAGTTGGGAGTCAGGAGAACTGGGCTCCAGTCCCAAGTCTATCACTAGCTTGTTATGTGATCTTGGGAAAGCCCCCTCCCCTCATGGGCCTCAGTTTCCTCCTCTTCAGTATAAATGGGGTTGTACTAGATGACCTCTGAGGGCCCTTCCATCTTGAAATGTAAAATTCTGTGATTCTATGACATTCTGTCTAGAAAAATCTGCCTGAATTACCTTGTTTGACCATCTGTACTGATCAAATTAACCAGATGACTGCCAAATGCCCACTTTGCTGTATGCCTTGCAAATGCAGCCACTGTCTGTGGACAGAAGAAGTCAGAAGAGCTGCACTTGGGGAACGGAACTGGCCGATTTAAGCCGAACAACAATTTTAAAACATCAACAGCATATGATGCTCTCTGCTAGACACTGGGGGAGATGAGAGCATAAGCAAGAACTTACATTCTAGTAGGGGGAGATAAGATGTGGCCCCAGATCAATGCAATCAAATTGAAATATAAGTGTATGGGAAGACCACAAAGTACCAGCATCAAGCTGGAGGAGGGAGAGATCATTTCCAGAGGGGGAGAGAGGAAAGAGGAGGACAGGAAAAGCTCCCTGAGAAGGGTGCCATTTGAGCTGGGCCTTGAAGCCCGGGCAGAATTTCAGTAGGCAAGGACAGGGAAGGGTAGGTTGGGGGAGCAGGGTGAGACACTCCAGGTACAAAGAACAGTGTTAGCAAAAATATAGAAACAAGAAAACATGAGATATGTTTGGGTGAGACTTTGCTGGATTAGGAAATATTTCAGGGTCAGGCAAAAATATCCATCTTCTCTGGCTGGCTTAAATGTATCAGCATCTCTGATGCTTACAGTGGAATGGCAATATCTCAGGAGTAAGAGGACCTAGGTTCAAATTCTGCCTCTCACATTACCTTAAGTTCCTTAGGTAAGTCATTTAACCTCTCTGGGCCTCAGTTTCCTCATCTGTAAAGTGAGGGTATTATAAAGTAAATAATGTTTGAGTTCCTTTCTGGATCTATGAGAATCCTACATTTGTTTATATTTGTTTTTCAACTGAAATAGATATTTTTAAAAAATTCATTAATTAGAATTCACTAATTTGGAATTTGTGATTGTTTCTCTTGGGGAAAAGGTTAATCTAGCAACTAACAGCACAAATAAAATTGGTATGGAGCATGTTTAACCTTCTTTTGAGGATAAGTTGTGAGGAATGGCTTAAGCAGAATGATAAGCAGAAGCTCTTCACCAAAGTGGACTTGGCATGGTGTCTAAGGAAAAAATGTTGTCAGCAAGGAGTTGGTGTGGCTGTGCCATCATCATCATCAGTGCCTCAGTTCTGTCATCTGCCAAACATGAGGTGGGACCAGGTTATAGAAACATCAATATAGAATTGCTAAATGGGGGGGGGGGACGACATATCATCTAGTCCAATCTCTTCGTTTGGCAGGAGAGACCCAGGAAAGTTGTAGGATTCACAAAGATTAAAGCTGGATGATCTCTGGGCTCTCTTTTAGCTCTGACATTCTGTGTTCATAGGGTCATAGATTTAGAGCTGGGTAGGATCCTTAGAGAGTATCTTGCCAATCAATGGGCAACAAGTATGTAATTTGTGCCAGATGCTATGCTAAGATGCAAAGAAAAAGCAGAAGCAAGAGACTCATATTCTAAAGGGATAGCCAACCCCTAAATTTTTTAGATGGGAAAACTGAGGACCAAAGAGGTTAGTTAAATTATTTGTCCAAGGTCACAAAAGCAGGAAGTTGTAGAGCTGGGATTTGGTGGCCGTTAGCTAATTAGTTGCTCTACCCTTAGCTAAGCTGGTGCCCAGACAACAGACACACCGTCTGTCACTGGCCCATAGGAAACATTCCAGCTTGGTGAGACCTGCCAAAGATTATCCCAGGCTTCCTCAACTTTCAAGGACTTTGGGTCACCCCCATGTTATGATGAGACAGTAGCATAGGAAATAAATAGAAGTGCCTTCATCACATATGGGTTAATGTTGCTATTTATTTCATGCTAAGGCATCTTATTTTTTAGAACTCTGCTAACAAAATATAGGCTCCCTGAGGGCAGGGAAAATGTCGTACACTTCTTTTGCAACCTCCACTATATCAACTAGCTGAGTGCACAGTAGATGTTCAATTGGAGACATTGAATTGAATGGAAATTAGAAGTGTGGATTGACCACTTCTGCTCATCTCAGAACTTGCCAAAAAAAAAAAAAAGAAAGAAAGGAAGGAAGGAAAAGAAAAAAAAATGGAACAGGTCAAAAATGATTGGCACTGGACCTCAAAGTCCTGAGCTCATCTACTTTGAAATCCAAGCACACACACAGCATGTGGCCAGGCCCAGAGAAGCCTGGCTTTGTTCTATTCTCTCCTGCATATTCTGCTGATCTTTCCAAACTCCTCAGCCCTTCAGGATGCAAAGCATCTGCCATCCTCTTTTTTTTTTTTTTCTGCAGAGGACTTGCTGAGGCATTTAAAACATTCCTTCTACCCAGGGGATCTGTCATCTCCCTCTCACAGCTCTAGCCTGGATCCAGTCCCAGAGATAAACCATAACTCTTGAAAAAACCAAGGTGGCCCATTATTTCTGCTAGAAACCACCGCTGGATCTTAACTCTAGTGTTGGCTTGATAGACCCCGGCTGTCATGTGGGGCGCTGCGTAAAATAACCATTAGTGGGTTGACTTTTGTAATGTGTAAGCTGGGACCCATCAGAGAGAGTCACGTAAACCTTTTCCTGGGATCCTGTATCACACCACAGACTCAGTGAGAGCAATATTTATAAAAGCAGCAGTAGTGTTTTACACGGAGGCATGCTTATACCCACAGCACACTTTATATTTTGACTCAAGTAAAAATGTCAGGAAGTCAAAATCCAGAGCTGGACCAGTGATTCCTAAGGTTTTGCAGTATCTCAGGTGCCTCCACTATGACCCAGGCAATTGGAATTGTTTTAAAAAAAAAGAAGAAGAAGAAGAAGCAATTTCAGGCCAAAAATTTAAATTACAGCACCAGGTGCATAATAGTGCCTAATAAATATTTGTCGGATTGGATTTTAAAAAGAAATATAGGATGTGGAGCACAGAGAATAGAGCTGAGGGTAAAAGATGATGAATTTTGAGTCTAGTCCAAATCCTGGCTCTTCTATTTGCTGGCTGAGTGGCTTCCAGTAAGTCTTTTGCACTCTGCGGGCCTCAATTTTATCATTTATAAAATGGAGTTAATAATCCCTTCCTTGCTTACTTTATGGGGCTGTTGTGAGGGTCAACTGAGAGAATGCATGTAAAGTGCTTTGTAAATTGTAAAGAGCTGCAGAGACGGCAGCTTTGTGGCAGGCAGGGATCACAAACATCAGACCGGGATGAGATGTCACAAGCTTTCAAAAGCTTGGATACCACTGGTACAGAAAGTGTACAGAAGGCAGAATGGCGAAATGGGAAGATTTGTATCAGAAGACCCAAGTTCAAACCCAGGTTCTGCTGCTCATTATCTGTGACATTGGATGAGTCATTCCCCAACTTAGAGCCTCAGTTTCCTCACCTGTAAAAACAAGGGGGATGGGCTAGATCTCTAAAGTGTTGTCCAGTTATAAATTCTATAAGCCAATTATGTCTCCTGAAGAAGAAAAATGTAGGCTCTTGAATGAAGGCAAAAACAGTTTTCTGTACTAAAACGAAACAACCTCACCCACCCACCTACCCCCTATCTAAAACAAGTAGGGCTGCTTCCTCAAGGTCTTCTGTCTCCCCCTCATTAAGTGTAAATAAAAACCTTCAGTTATAGCTCCATGGAAACCCTCTCTTGTGCATGAAAGACTATTAAGAATAGCAATATAACAATGAACTCACTCAGGAATAGAATAAAGTTGGTTTTGCCACAAGCACAGTTACTTGGACAATTCCAAAATTAGTTTTTATTTCAATTGACTGGCTAATTTTGTTCAGGTAAGTAAAATAGCAGAGACTCTGAGGCTTAAGTGAATAGAAGACAGGCCTTGGAGCCAGAACAACCTGGGTTCCAGTCCTGTCTCTGACCCATTCTAATTGTGTGACCATAAGGAAGTCATTTAATCTACCACTGCCCCAGGCAATGTTAGAACAATAAATTACGGATGAGTGGCAGAGCTGCGTGGTGTGGGGAGTTTCCATGCCAGAACTTCCACTGATGAACTCAGAGGTCCAGATCCCTGCTTTCCAAAATAAAATAAAAATAAACCATTGCAAAAGATAAAATAGACAAGTGCGATTTCAAGAAACTGAAAAGTTTCTGCCAGGAAGTGGCTGAGGCAGGAGGGTCTTCCTGATGTTAATTGCAAGGCTCTATCCACAGAACCACCTAGCTGTTTTAGAACAAAGACCCAGAGCTCAAGCACTGGATAGGACATGAGAAACCTGGATGCATCCCTCTACTTTATCATTAAATTGCAATGTGACCTTGGACAAGTACTTAGCATCTCTCCAGCTCAAGTCCCTCTATGTGCCTCCTACCTATCTCACCGGTATGTTTTGAAGATTAATTAAATGAGTGAGATGCAGAAAGTGCTTTGGCAAGCATTTTGCATGCAGGAGGCATCATTATTACAGTTAGTGCCATAAGACTTTAGATGCTTGTCGATTTTTCTGTTCTCACCTGTCTTTCAGAGCAAATTATAGCCTTGTCACTGATCTGCCCATGCCACCTTGGAGGCCTCTCTGTCCCCAGCAGCTCTCTGAAGTTGTTGCTACAGACTGCCTTTCTTCAAGTGAGCCAATCATTTCTTCTGGTGATCCAATCCAGGGTCTCTGTGGCACCTAGGAAAGAAGAGAAGAAGGGCTTAAAAATACTCCTCAATTACCATTCTTCTAAGCATGAATCCCTAGAGGGAGAAATAGTTGAGGTAGGCTCAGTTACTTTTGAGGTAAAAAGGCCATAAATTATTATGTCTCTACTGATCTCTCAAAGCATCTTTAGCAAGAAGGACATTGGCTTTCTCCTGTGTGGATGTCATTCATCCTTTGTTCACAAAGAGGACCAATGACATCGGGAGGGTAATGTCTTGACTTGCAAGTGAATTGGATTTAAATGAGGCAGATTGAGCAAAGTCCTCAGCCTCACTCTCTCCTTCAGGGTCATTGAATTCCAGTGACAAGACAAAGGTCAAGATGACTGGCATGACCAGGATATAGTGGGTGACCTTGGCCTTTCTAAATTAAAATGTTTCCCAGGTCTCAATTTGTCTGAGGCCGCACCCATTCAATGACTTAGGGCTAGGTAAGAGTTGAGATAAAAAATGACTTAATGGAAGAGGAAGAGGAAGAAGAGAATAAAGAGGAGGAGAAGGAGAAGATCCCCTAACCTTTACTGGAATTGGCATGTTGGGTCCCAGCTACTTCTACTCTCAGATAGCATGGTAAAGAAAGTTAATACAAAATATTCTCCTAAGAACCTGGTTCTTTCCTTCCCACAAATACAGTATCCATGGGAGGAGTAAGCTTAAATTTAGACCATAATAATGGTGTCTAGGTTCAGCCAGTAGATGAAGCAGCCTAAGTGGGCTGGCCAGTTTCCAGTAAAAGGGAAAAGATATTTGAAGGCATCAGAGGAGAATGAGTAAATACTGAAGAAATTAAAGATAAGAGAGAGAAAGGGGATGATCCTTGGGGCAATGGGTCGAGTTCCCAGGGAGAAAAAGCTCAAGAAGGTTAAGTGACTTCCTCCATGATCAATAGCTGAGGAGAGCTAGGATTTGAAGAGGCCTCCAGACTCTAGCTGGTGTCCTCCCTGACCCCTCCCCCCCCACTACCATTTTACCCCATTGCTTCCCTGTGTTATTTGACTGATCCTCATAATCCCTCCCTCACTCCTCTCTACCCGTAAGGGGATAGAGCAAGTATTATTGGCCGCCGTTTTACTGGTTAAGGATAAAGCCGATCAAAACACATTTATTAAATGCTTACTATGAGCCAGGCACTGTGCTAAGTGCTGGGGGATAAAAAGAAAAGTTAAATCCGGTCCTTCTACTCGGTAATGCTTAATCAACTGAGGCCCAAAGAATCAGACTCACTTTCCCCAGATTACAAAGAACTGAGACTCAAACTCAAGGCTTGTGCTCTCCAAACCAATCCTCTTTTCTATAATATGTAATGGGGACAGGCTAGAAGCATCTCCAATAAGATCGGGGGTGAAACAAGGATGTCCATTATCACCACTGTTACTCAATATCGTACTGGAAACGTTAGCTTTAGCAATAAGAGAAGAAAAAGAAATTGAAGGCATTAGAACAGGCAAAGAAGAAACACAGCTCTTGTGCTTTGCAGATGACGTGATGATATGCTTAGAGAATCCTAGAGAACCAAGTAAAAAACTGCTTGAAATAATAAACAACTTTAGCAAAGTTGCAGGCTATAAAGTAAACCCACATAAATCACCAGCATTTCTATATATTTCCAATAAAGCCCAACAGCAAGAGATAGAAAGAGAAATCCCATTTAAACTTACTGTAGACATTATAAAATATTTAGGAGTCTACCTCCCGAAACAAACCCAGGAACTCTATGAACACAATTACAAAACACTTTTTACACAAATAAAGTCAGATCTAAACAAATGGAAAAACATCAGTTGCTCATGGTAGGCTGAGCCAGTATAATAAAAATGACAATCTACCTAAGCTAATTTACTTATTCAGTGCCATACCAATCAAACTACCAAAAAATTATTTTATAGAGTTAGAAAAAATAATAACAAGATTCATTTGGAAAACAAAAGGTCCAGAATATCAAAGGAACTAATGAAAAGAAATGCAGGGGAAGGTGGCCTAGCAATTCCAGATCTTAAAGTATTATAAAGCAGCAATCATCAAAACTGCTTGGTACTGGCTAAGAAATAGAGTGGTGGATCAGTGGAATAGGTTAAATATGCAAGACACAGTAGTCAATGACTATAGTAATCTATTATTTGATAAACCCAAAGACCCCAGCTTCTGGGATAAGAACCCACTCTTTGAAAAAAACTGCTGGAAAACTGGAAAAGAGTATGGCAGAAACTAGGCATAGACCAAATCTCACACCATATACCAAAATAAAGTCAAAATGGGTTCATGATTTAGATATAAGGCTGATATAAGCAAACTGGGAGAACAAGGAATAGTTTACCTATCAGATCTATGGAGAACAGAAGAATTCATGACCAAACAGGAGATAGAGAACATTACAAAAAGCAAAATGGATAATTTTGATTACATTAAATTGAAAAGTTTTTGCACAAACAAAGCCAATGCAACTAAGATTAGAAGGAAGGTAGAAAATTGGGAAAGAATTTTTACAACCAGTTCTCTGATAAGGCCTCATTTCTAAAATATATAGAGAATTAAGAATTTATAAGAACACAAGCCATTCCCCAATTGATAAATGGTCAAAGGATATGAACAGACAGTTCTCAGATGAAGAAATTAAAGCCATCTATAGTCATATGAAAAATGCTCTAAATCATTATTGATTAGAGAAATGCAAATCAAAACAACTCTGAGGTACCACATCACACCTATCAGATTGGCCAACATGACAAAACAGGAAAATGATAAATGTTGGAGAAGATGTGGGAAAATTGGAACACTAATGCATTGTTGGTGGAGTTGTGAAATGATCAACCATTTTGGAGAACAATTTGGAACTATGCCAAAGGGCTATCAAAAATGTGCATACCCTTTGATCCAGCAATAGCACTTCTAGGGCTATATCCCAAAGAGATCATACAAATGGGAAAAGGACCACATGTACAAAAATATTCATAGCAGCTCTTTTTGTGGTGGCAAAGAATTGGAAATTGAGAGGATGCCCATCATTGGGGAATGGCTGAGCAAGTTGTGGTATATGAATGTAATGGAATACTATTGTGCTATAAGAAATGATGAACAGGCTGACTTCAGAAAAACCTGGAAAGACTTATTGGTCTGATGCTGAGTGAAGTGAGCAGAACCAAGAGACTTTGTACACAATAACAGCCATGTTGTGTGATGATTAATATTGATAAACCTAACCTTTCTCAGCAATAGAAGGATTTAAGACATCTCCAGAGGCCTCGTGATGGAAAATGCTATCCACATCCAAAGAAAGAACTATGGAAGTTGAATTGCTATTTTTTTCTCTCCTGTTGAGTTTTGTTTCTTCTTTCTAATGGTTCCTCCTATTGGTTTTAATTTTTACTTACAACATCACTAACGTGAAAATATGTTTAATAGGAATGTAAATGTATAGCCTATATCAGATTGTGCGCCGTCTTGGGGAGGGTGGTAGGGAGGAAGGGGGAGAAATTTTTAAACTCAAAAGCATATGGAAGTGATTATTGATAAATCAAAACAAATTAATAAAATTTAAAAAATAAAATGGATGTTGACAAAGAAGGGCCATCTGATTAGTATGTAGCATACTAATCACTGGCATGTTTGCAAGGCTGAGAGACAGACGGCTAAATTAAAATGTTTATATAATAATAGTAGGTACAGTGAAAACTCTTCTTCTTCCAAAAGTTTTCTTTTGAGAGATCAGAAAACTCAGGTTCTTGTCCTAGCTCTGTCAATTAACTGTGTGACCCTGGGCCTGTCAGTTTACTTCTCAGTTTAAGTTTTCTTACCTATAAAACAAAATTAACAAAACCTTCCCTAACTATTTCACAGCGATGTTGGAAAGATCAAGCAATAATGTGTATAAAGTGAGTCATAGAATCATTAAAGTTGGAAGTGAACTTAGAATTCAAGTCCAACTGCACTGCCATTTTACAGATGAGGAAATGGAGACCCGGAGAGGTCAGGTGACTGGCCCAGAGTCACACAATTGGGAAAAATCTGCAGCAGGATTTAAACCTAAGTCTTCCTTTTGTTCAGGATTTCAATTTTAATGTTTTGTTTTTCAAAGTTTGACAGTCATCAATAAAGCCAATCATTTCCATATACAAAGAACAGAAAAAGAGGATTGCATATGAAACTGTGAATTTCTATACTGTTGTTGTTGTTCATTGTTTTCAGTCATGCCTGACTGTTTGTGACCACATTTTGGTTTTCTTGGCAAAAATACTGGAGTGGTTTTGCTGTTTCCTTCTCCAGCTCATTTTGTAGATGAAGAAACTGAGGCAAACAGGGTTAAATAACTTGCAGAGCATCATACAGCTAGTGTCTGAGGCCAGATAGCTCATTTAAGGGATATAATAAATTCAACCTGTTAGTTCCAAAGCTATCTTGTTTGTTTTTCCCTGCTCTGATCTTCCTTCTGTTCCATTCTGAGAATTTTTGAAAACTAGTTTGAGTGGTGCTGAAACCCAGGTACTCCTGACTCTAAGTCCAGTGCTTAATCGCCCACACCAGGCTGCCTCCATCATCCTGAGATCCTATGGAAATGTCAGCTATTTATTCTCTAGTTCATAGGTTGCAGTAGTCAATTCAGTGGCCATAATCTAATAACAATCTTATTGTTCTAAGGTAATGAGACCCTGTACTTAGCTAGGCTGGCCCTCAGACTGCAGACTCAGGCTTTCACTAGAACTATATTCACTGAAACTTTATAGTTTGGTAAGATTTACATGAACTTGTGATTTGGGGTATAACTTGAAAACAGTGTAACTTAGTGTACCCCCACATTAAAATAAAGCGTCCAAGTCAACAAAGTATTTACTAAGGAGATATCATAGCCAGAAGGAGCAACACTCCCAGGTAAACCTCAGAGGGCTTCTTCTCAAATTTATAGGTGGGTAGGTAGAAAATTGGATGGAATGCTCAAGTCAGAAAGAGCAGAGTCTGAGCCCTGCCTCAGACACTTAG